GACGATGATCCCTCCTCGTCCCTTCCCATCAATAACGGTGGTTCGTGAAGGTGGGGCAACCACCACGTTGCCAGACAAACCCATGATAAAGACTGCTGATGTTTGGGAGAGAGATACAAATATCCAAACATCAAAATTCAAATAATCTCCAAAATATTACTAACCTAATCTGACAAACGTGCTTACTAAAGTCCAAGTTGCAAATGAAAATCGGTTGACAAAAATAGCTTATTACAATAATAACTTATTACTACATACATTTGAACAACGGGTTAGCAGACAGGTGAACCATTGGCTAAATCCCATTTTTAACCGTTACACAGTCTTAAAGTATCTGCATGTACATGTCTAATGGTCTCGTTTACACTTGTTAAATAAGTCGCACTACTTAATACTTTAACAATAATTGCCTGTACCCATCCTTTCGGTCCCCATAGGTCTTTAGACCACACTTTTTGGTTTTCTGAATATCATTCTCTTGATTTAAGAGGTTTAACATTTATGTTATATTCAACTCTATGGCTTGGTTTTAATATGTCAAATCTAGCGCAGGGTTTATACTTAAAAATATGGGCGTTTGGGGTCAGTCCAGAAGCATTAGGTGTGCTTCTATAAAGAAAAAGAAAATTTTGTAATTTTTGTTCTACGGTACAATTCCTAGTTGTTTATTCAGTGCTTTTTTTATGGTTTGGATGTGTCTTTCGTCTATACCATTAGATTGTGAATGATAAGGAGGGCTTTTAATGGGTTTAATACCGTTTGCCTGTTAAAATTTAACAAATTCAGGCAAAGGAAAAGGCTATTATCACTAACCAACTCAAATGGAAGGCCTACGATTGCGAAAGTTTTACACAGCTTTTAAACAGTTTGCAAAGCATTAGTTCCTGATATAATGTGAACGTCTGACGACTTGGAAGCTGTGTCTACAATTAACAAATAGGTCACATTATTTTTATGAAAAAAACATATGTGGACTCTTTCGAAATTATTCTGTCACCTTGGCCAATGTATTAACGGGGATCTATTATAACAGTTTTGTGATTCCTGACATGTGTGGCATGATGCAATTAACTTTTTAAAATGGTAATTTACTTAACGTTACTAAACATTTTTGAATACACAATTCCATTATGGCCTTACTATTATGGAATTACTATACGTGTGCCCCAGAGTATACAATCTTGTTCCATTGTAAGTTCAGTTCTTCTTTGAAAATATGGTTTTTGCCCGTCCGTAATTTGGTTTGGCCAACCTTTTAAAACAAAGTCTTAATTTTTAACAGTAGGGGATGTTTTTCCGTTGCAATAGAAATTTATCTATAAGACAAAGACACTGTTGCCTCAAAACTAAATGAATTTACCTGATCAGGTATATCTGTTCTTGCTGCAAAGGAAAGCGAGAGAGTGCGTCCGCATTACCTATCAATTTTCCTTTTTTGTACAAATGGAATAGTTATAACCTGACATCATAATCGACCATCTTTGAATTATAGTTGCGGCTGTCGTTGGCAAATTAAGCAGCAATTTCCTTTTATAACTGGTAAGCTCTTACATTTTTATATACATTTAATTCAAAATATATCATTTGCAAAATATTTTTGAGCAACAATTAAAAACAAAGTGGCAGATTTTGCGCCCGGGATACAGGATGCGAAGGAAAGAAATTCATTTTTTCATTTTTGGAACCCTACCTGGCAGAAAGAGCGAGTTCCAGTGTACCTTTATGGCAACCTGGGATATTATGGTAACCCCGCACTCTTGGGACAGTGCGAAAGTCATGATGTTTTGGAGGACACTCAAAATCCTGCATACGAAATGGATAAGTTAGCTAAAAATCTGAAACTATACATATGTAAATAATGAAGGATTAAAGAAATGTAATAAGCACATCTGGGCGATATTTTAACAAATGTGTAATTCTTATTTCAGATGATCAGGAGCCAATGGCTTTAATTTACTCGCCGTATTCATGATCCGCCTCTAGAGCATTTTTCATACCAAGGAACGCCACAGCCTTCGGACACGTCCCAAAAAAAGGAAAAAAGTTAAATGTCTCAAAACGGATGAGACTTATTTCCTACCTGCCGGCCAAAAAGGACAGACTTACGAAGAAGGATGCAGAGAGTCCAAAGTCCTCTAACGAACTTTGCCTCCTAAGGTTTTTGGAGGGTATAAATAAATTAGCTCCAGCTAAAGAGCATCAATTTAAGAGGTCAGCGTTGGATACGCTAAACACCCTCTTAAATGACGATAAATAAAAATTATTTGCGAGCCAATGGGTGTCTTAATTTAGTATTTTATTTTCGTCTTTATTACATATATATTCCGGCGTCCTGCCAATCTACAGCGCCTTCCCCATTAAAATAATCGCAAAAGCGATCGCGTATTTCTCGTACTTCCCTGGAAGATTGGTTGGCATTTAATAGGCATTTTCCATCGGAAGAAAAGCATCAGGCCTTACATTTTCAGCCAATTGAGTTTGAAGAGTTCCATTTTCTTCAATTCTTATAAAGTTGTGAAGAACACAAGCCGCTTTAATTGTTTTGTCTATTTTTGTCGGTTTAATTGCAATACTGGTTTCAAAAATTCGGAATTTTGAAACCAGTATGCCAAAAGCGCATTCAACTAATTGTCTGGCATGTGACAATCGATAATTGAATATTTTTTTGCGAAGATCTAAATTCCTTCTTGGATATGGCTTCATTAGATGTTGCGATAACCGGAATGCTTCATCGCCAACAAAAACAACAGGCATAGCATGGTTTTCGCTTCCATTCAATTCCTTATTCTCCGGTAAATCCATTGTATTTCCATACAGTAACTTGCCAAAATAGGAATGTTCCAGTATGCTACCATCACTATTCTTGCCAAAACTGCCGACATCGATCATCGTGACCTTATAGTTCACATCCACAACAGCCATCAAATCAATGGAATAGTACATTTTGTAGTTATAATATAAGGATCCACAATTTTTTGGCTTGCGTATCCTTATGTGTTTCCCATCTATAGCTCCCACACAGTTTGTTCGGAAACTTTAGATAGTCGTTTTCTAAGCCATTGTAAATTAATAACAGCATTTCGTTTACTATGACGCTAATTCTATTATGACTTAGGCAAAAACGAAATTATGCTGAATGAAAAGATTCCCCAGTCGCAATATATCTGAAAAAAACAAAACCTTAAGCTTCCATGTGTTGAGATTTGTTATTCTAGTACCTACCTCAATGTTAATCTTTCCTGAAAACTGATGCTTTGTCGATTTGATATAGGATTAAAGTGTGGTTAAAAAGGACTACAGTTGATGCTGGTGCATGATTGCTGTGAGACCATGATTCGCCTGATTTTGGATTGACTGATTTTGGTCGGTGGTAGTGGGTGATAGTTGATGACAGTGGTTGCTGTGGGACCGCTGCCTTACATGACAACTTAGTTGACGTTGACATCTGAAAGATAGGGTATGACCCGTAATTAACAAACTAGACTAACTATCAGTACAACTGGATTGCCATTGCTTCTCTACTACAACACTTACTAACTCTGCTACTCATTTTGATTAATGAGCGATGATAATATTGTAACGGAAATGGCCTGGGGTACTCACGTTTGAAATGGAAGTATCAAAATGTATGGTATTTCAGTAAATGGGAGCCCCATTTACTGTCAAATATGACACTGACAAGCGGAAGTTTCGCACCTGTTCTGGAGATTTCGAGAACCATCTGGGTTACCTGGAAAAAACTATATAAGCGACGACGAGTACCAGACAGAGAGTCAGTGAAGTGACAGCAACGACCGGGTGCAGAAGAGATTTAACCCCGCGAGATTTCCGCCTGTTATTGTTATTGTTTGTGAAGTTGACGGTAATTTTTAAGTTAGTTTGTTCCTGTTCCGTAGTTAAAGTTATACCGAGTGGAATAAAAGTTGGAAGCTGAAGAAAAATAGTTTGATACTCTGCCATCCACGGTACAATATGCTAATACTTACTCTGAAAGAAAAGTTGAAAATGAGCTGTAGCTGAGTGAAAAAGTTTTTGCCGGACTCGTGATAAATCTTAAGTGAAAAATGAGTATGATATGATGTATGCGTTATACCATGTCCTTGTTTCAGATTATTATTGTTGCCAGTTCGAATTGTTATCGCTCATTCATTTCGTTCAGTAATTTAAAGTTTATTTATTAGATTTACTGTATTATTACGTTTATTCTGTAAGTTTTTATATTTAAAAACAAAGATAATTCAATCGCTCAAAGATTATATTTTAACACATTTTTGCATATCTGTATATGTTATATACATTTACAATTGAAATTAGTATATGAAAAATAAGTGAGCTTGGCAAGCCTGTTGGTTGTGTAAAACACAAATGTCTATGTCACTCTCTTATCGATAGACTTCTAGAAAATACAGTTTGCCAGGTGCCTAAGGATTCATTCCTCATGGAGGAATAAAAATCTTCACGAAGACACCTAGTGTTCCGAACCCTGGGTAGTGTTGGATTCTTACCAACTAAAAAAACGCCATTTTTATACTACGAGTTTTCGGGAGTTATCCTTAAAAACTCGTAGTCCTCTTTAAGAATTTGTCAGCTCCGGCATCCCTACGCCGTAGCATCGCATTCTCTCCATGCCAGCTGCTTGCTAGCATGGGCATCTTATTAATTTACACCTTACTTCTACATGCATGCTAATTACTATTAACACTACATAATCACATTTACAGCTTACGCCGTTTGCTACCTGTTGCCCTAATGGGCTAGTTGGTGTCTGGGCCTTTTTTCCCTGGGTCCCAGATCTTCAGTAGTGCAACTGACAAGGTTTCTCAGCTCTTCGTTGGAGTGGCTTCCAGCTTTCTCAAAGTCTGCGTTCGCTTTGCTTGCGAGAAACTCTCTTAGTGGCTCCTCCAGATCCCTGTAGATTTGGGAGTTTCTAACAAACCAGGGCGCATTTATGGCCATCCGCAAAAATTAGTTTTCTGTGGCCTGAAGTCTATTCAAGTAACACTCGGCCGCATATCCCGACGCAGTGGAGGCATACGCCAGTGTCGGCCTGATTATGGTCTTGATGAGCAGTAGCTTGTTCCTGATACTTATCTGGCTTCTTCGATTGAGGAGTGGGTATAACTTGGCAGTTGTTGCCTTGACCTTTTCGATGGCTGTTTTTATGTGCTTCTTCCAGGTCAGCTGCTTATCTAAAACAACACCCAAATATTTAGCATCTTTCCCATTCGACGTTTTGTCCCTCTATGGTGATGTTGCCATAGACACTGTCCTGCTTCCTGCCAATAAGTATGGCCGGGCTCTTCTCTGCATTTATCTTCAGCTTTCACTTGATGAACCACTGATGCAGTTCGTCAATTGCAAGCTGGAGCTGTTGCCTGATGCAGTCCTTGCGCCATGAGAATTTCAGAAGGGCCGTATTATCATCTGCAAATAATGCCAGGGTCGTATTGGCATGTCTTGGAATGTCGCTTGTGTATATGTTGTATAGCAAGGGGGAGAGCACTGCTCCTTGCGGTACTCCTGCCTCAGTGCTTCTGGTTTGTGACCGGTAACCTCCAACTTTCACGCTGAAGCTCCTTCTGCAAATATAACTGTCTATTAACTGGCACAGTTTCTTGTTAATACCTATTTCCATTATCAAAGTCCTGTTTTTCTTGGGCTTCGGGAGCATGATGACTTCCGAGTGCTTCCAGATGCTTGGGAAATGACCAGGCCTGAAAATAGCATTAATCAAGTTAGTGACAGCTACCAGTCCCTTTCTCGGCAGGTTCTTCAGCATTTTGTTGGTGATTCCATCTCTTCCAGGGGCTTTCTTAGCTTAGATTTTTGTGATGATGGCTGCTACTTCTGCTGGCTAAGTTGGGGGGAGGTGGTTGACTGGCCTTTCACTCCGAAGCTTATTTACTGTCCTTCTGACAGTTGCTTCGTGCTGTAGGTCATGGTTTGGGTGGTGGTTTACCCTGACCTCACTATCAATTGCTTCCGCAAACGCCTCAGCTTTGCTGCCATCTGTAAAAACCAAACCTTCAGTTCCGTGGAACGCTGGAATTTTGGTACCTTCTCTTCTTAGGGCCTTTTGCATACTCCATATGCTTTGGTCCTCAGGATTCAACTCTCTCAAGCGGGTTTTCCATTTCTGGATCCTGTGTTTCAGTAAGGCTTCTTTCAGCAATTGCCCTTGTCGGTTAAGAGCGATTCTGTTTTCTTCTGTGTTATGTCTGCGGAAAGTCCTGCGTAGCCTTCTATCGGTCTAATGGTTGGTGATTTTTCTGCGGATGGCGACCGGGAGTTCTTCCCGAACCACCGGGAATTCCGTAGTCACCGAACTTCTCCCATGCACTTGTTGGATGGCTGCTTCCAGACTTTTTGCTGCTTGCTCCACCCCCTCCTTATCGTCTACCTGCGGAATTTCGATTAGTAGGTGTGTGAGCTCTTTGAACTTTACCTATTTCGTTGTGGTTCTAGTCCTGCGCAGTGGTGTCCTCTCTTCGTGACCCCAACGCCACAGGATTGGGTTGTGGTCGGAGGTTCCCTCTTCTATGGTCTGGACGCTGGCCGGTTGCCTCACGTTCTTGACTATGGCAATATCCAACACTTCAGGAGCTCCCGATCCTGTCGGGATCCTTGTCGGGATCTCTGGGCCCAGGATTCTACCCAGCATCTACTGCTTCTGCTAACCGTCGGCCTTTACTGCAGGTTCGGGTGCTATTCCACTCCGTGTTTTTGCAGTTTAGGTCGCCTATCAACAGCCTTGCTTTGTTGTTCCCTAACATTGTCTAGATGTCCAGCAGGTTCAGGGCTTTCTCAGGGGCTCTGTAAACAGAAGTAACAATTACTGGCCCTTTGGAGGTGTTGACTTGGACGCTGATGGCGTGTATGTCCTCTACTCCTATGCGGTGGTGGTCGATGTCCTTCCTAATTAGGAGGGCCACTCCTCCACGTTGGGTGCTGTCGTCGTGCCTGTAAATCTCATAATCTTGTATGTTAATCCTAATATTACTTGCTACCTTGGTTTCCTGGAGTGCTACCACTTCAGGATTCCTGTTGTTCCGGAACTCGTCCAACTCTGGACGGCGAGTCCTTAGCCCATTGACGTTCCAAGACGCTACTGTAAAACTGTCAGGCCGCTCAGGCATGGAGTCGGGACATTACCGCCTGGACAATGGCTTCCAAGGACTCCCTGTCCATTGCTGCTACTTGTTAATGCGTATTGCTGCGAGGGGTGGTCCTTTTCCGGGTTTTGGCTGGATGCCCTTGGGTGCCACATAGCGCACACTTGCAGTTGCGGCTCTTCCTTTGCCTGATCAAGTTAGCTGGCAATCTGCGCTCCTGTGGCTTTCACCACATTTCACGCATCTCACCGGCTGGGTGCAGTGTCGCTGTGAGTGTCCATGTCTCTGACACCTAAAACATTACCCAGGACCTTGGCTCTTCCGTTTATTTTCCAGCTTGACAGACAAGTTGAACAATTGGAATATATTCCAGATGTCCTTGTTGACTGTCTTTACCAGCACCAAAGACAATATTTCCTTGGTCCTCCTGGTGACCAACTGGAACGCTTCCGCGTCCTTGATGCCCTTGAGCTCCTCGGTCTCGCTAACTTCGATGTCCAGTGGCAAATCCCTAATCACCACGTAAAGCATTTTATCCTCCGGCAACTAACTGACGAATCGTGGTAAACGGCAACGTTGGACTGTCCTTTGTTTAGACAAGCGTCTAGGTACAGACCAGCAAACATTAAAATGCCAAGCAGACCTCTTCTGCGCATGCTCCAACGTTTACGAAAGACGATATATTGGCGAGTGGACCTAACCTAAGATCCACCACATTGTTGATCTGAATCTTATCTTTATCTATGATCTGAATCACAGACTCCCTCAGAGTAAATACTATTTACTCTGAGCAGACTACTCACTATTCTGAATACCGAACACCCCGCTTTCCTATTTGTGTATCTGTACCTGCATTCTTTTTTTAACCACTGCGTATTAGTTTTCGTATTTTTAAAATTTTTGTTAATCAGGGTTTCCACGTAATTCGTAATTTAATGATTAAATAGATGGCAGGTGCGCAAGGTCTGTCAACTGTTAGTTTGGAGGTTATTCCGTTTGAATTGTGTCACACAATAAAGCACACTTAAAATAAACAACTGTTAATAAACGAACAGTAAATAAAGCACCAGCGGTATGTGCGCGCCTCAAAGTGCAAACGGAGACTCCCCGTTGAGAAGAGACGCTGGGCGTCTGTTGTTGGACCTTATCCGTTCGAGAGAGAGATGTCGGCGATGTTGTCTCTGTCACCGCGGCCTAATACTACGCGGCCTACTATTTTTGAAATTGCACTTACTTCATTTGTTAACTGCGTAAGCGCATTACATACCGTTGATGCCTTCGAGCCGATAGACAAAATGGCAGATCCGCCATTTTGGATGAACTGATCGGCCTTTCTAGCGACGTCTTCGATGTCCCCATCGAGGATTGAAATGACCCCTCAAACTTGGGGTGGTAAGCGGTCAAGCCACAAATTCTTCATCACCTGTGCGCTTACGTTTGTGGTGGCTAAGGCTTGCATTTGATGTAGTAGCTGAGATGGCTTGAGGTCACCCAGCGTCATTTCTATCAATTGGCGAATGTCTTCTATCAATTGGAATGGTCTGGGCTTGTTCCATACCTCTCCAGGAGTCTACTTTTTAACTCTTCATACGAGTTTCCCCTTGTTGGTGCTCTTATTAGGTCGGCGACCTCTTGGAGGCTGAAGTAATTCTGGCATTTGCATTTGAGGCTGAAGTAATTCTGGCTTGCCTGAACTGTGCTTCAAGTCGCAGAAACCACAGCTCTGGTTCTGTTCGCCAGAATTCGGGTGCTTTAATCCCCACGCGGGCAATTATGGCCTGATCCTCGTTGGATCATGGCGTTGCGTCGGTCGTGTGTGGGAAGTAAATTTTCGCGTTCTCGCTTTCCGTCGGGGTCACCAATGTGGGCTTTCTTGTCACACAATAAAGCACACTTAAAATAAACAACTGTTAATAAACTCACAATAAATAAAGCATAAGCGGGATGTGCGCGCGTGAAAGAGCAAACGGAGACTCCCCGTTGAGAAGGGACGCTGGGTGTCTGCTGTTGGGCGGTATCCCTTTGAAAGCTCTCTCTCGAAGGCATACAGAAGCAGATGTCTGCGATGTTGTCTCTCTCACCGCGGCCTAATGGTATGCCTGGCATCCAGCAGGGTTGCCAACTTCAGCCAACCTTTTGGGGCGAAAGCGCGTTGTCAAGATTCACCACAGAATCTTCAATAATAGGGATCGTAAAGAAATATATATATATTATATTGTACCGTGGATGGCCGAGTATCAAACTCTTTCTTCTGCTTCCAACTTTTATTCCACTCGGTATAACTTTAACTACGGAACAGGAACAATCTAACTTCAAAATTACGGTCAACTTCACAAACGATAACAATAACACACGGAAAACACGCGTTTCCGACTCGCGGGGTTTAACCTCTTCTGCACCTGGTCGCTCCTGTCACTTTACTGACTCCCCATACTTATGAACATATTTATTATCAGCTAAGTTTACAACTTCCTACTGCTACTTATCTACGGCTTCTTAATCTAACATCGTTGGAGTGTCTAACACTCCATGTAACTTAAGATATGTCATCATGTATAACTTAATCTAAATTACCCTAATTAACCTACTATAAACCTAAACCTAAACCTAAACCTAACAGCCTCTCTTGCTTCCTATAACTAACTTAGAGTTAGCCCATGGTCCTCGATGTGGTG